AGGGTATTTCATTTAGAAAAACACAACTTTGATGGGGACACTCTGTACATTATAAAAATATTTTTAAAATGTGCGCTCGGTAGGCGTCGGACAGTTCATAAAATAACACTTTTTAAAAATCAAACGGTTTAGCCGCAAACGTCCGTGCCGTATAGCGTGAATAACCCTGTATATTCATATTTTACTTCAATATTTAAAGCGTCAACTTTTCGAAATAAGCGGAAATTATTGCAAAAATTCGATTATTTCGACGCATTTGTGAAAATAGCCAGGGAGATTTTGCGATTCTTCCAACTAGTTGACAGATGAAGTTAGCTTGATAATCAGCAAAGTTATAGACAGGCGTTTTAAACAAATTTGAAACTAATCTTGGATAAGAGTAAATCTGGATGTGGCGCTTCAAATAGTGACGTCAGCGCCAATAGGCCTGAAACAAATTGACTCGCGCTGACGTCATGAGTATATTTACTGCATTGTTTTATTGCAGAAGGCCACTGGATGCGTAGATTGCAATGTGGCAATAGCGCGCCAACGCCTAGACGGAGCCGAGCCGCAGTTTGCGCCGGTTCAGTTCGGCCCTGGCACGAGTTTCATGTTTTAGTAACCTTCAGATCCTCTGTGTGAGCGTGAGTTTCCGCGCCGGGCAAACCGATCGATCAGCCGTTCTCGAACAACTGCGTAGCAAGAAGTTTCGCTATATCGGCGTCCAAAAATGAACAAAGTCAGTTTTCTGCTGGTGAACAAATTCTCCCAGTTCTGCCTAGAGGATCAATTGAAAATCAAAGCACTCGGCCGAGACACACCGGAACTGAACATCACCAAGTCGTGTGCCAACGAGAAGAGTGCGCGTTTCCGGAAGTTCAACCCTGCGCTGTATGCGAAAAACGCTTGGCTGTGCGGTTGTGACGTTTCCAACCGGATGTACTGTTTTCCCTGTCTTCTGTATGGCGGGGATGAGTTCTGGTCGGAAAAAGGCGTCAATGATTTGATCCACGTGTGGGAGAAAATCAAGTCTCATGAGCGAAGCACACGCCACATGCACAATATGTTCAGTTTAGCCATGCTGGGGAAAGTTGATATTAAGGTTTTACTCAATTCCGTTCTAAGAGAAGAGGCGCTAAAGCAGAACAGCATTGTTCGGAAAAACCGGCAGGATTTGAGCAAAATCATTAACAACATCCGGTCGGCCCATGCTTTCGATCTGGCGCTTCGCGGCCAGGACCAATCGGATTCTTCTGAAAACGCGGTTGATTTTTCTATTGATTTCAACGCAGAACTATCGAAGGCTAATAAAGAGACAATTGCCAAACTGCCGATGTTCAAAGACAATTCCCTCGAAGTTCTAGACGAGCTAATTGACTCCGTTTTCGGAGTTTATCAGGCGGAACTGATAAGGCAAGTGAAAGCTGCAGAGTACCTTTCGGTTATCATAGACGAGGCGTTTGACGGCAGCTGCAAGAGCCTGATTGTTGCAATAATCCGATACCTGGTCAATGGAAAGCCTGTAGAACGATTTTGGAACATTATCTACCCGGAGGCGTACGATGCCGAAGCACTTTCCCAGGCCCTCATTAAGGAAATTGAGCCGTTAGTCGGCCAGACTCCGGAGAAGTTGATTTCCATTAGCTATGATGGACCTTCGGTCGCCAGCGGTTCTCTGGTGATTCTCCAGCAGCGGTTCAAAGACAAGTATCCAGCTTCCAGCTTCGTGCACTATTATGCGCACTCTGTGACTTTGGTGATATCCAGTGCTGCGTCCATGAACAGGCAGGCGAAGATCTTTTTCTCCAGTCTGTGCAGTCTTTGCTCCTTTCTGGCCAGCTCGCCTCAAGTGATTAACATTTTCAACGAAATCGTGCAGAAACGCCACTCGAACGGCAAGCGTGCAGAATGGGATTTAGACCCTGCCAATATGGGGGTGACCACCATTCACAAGCATCGCAAAGACCTGGTGATGGTGATGGATTTCTTGGAAAAATCGGCCAATGTTGCAACGATCAACCAAGCGGGCGGGTATAAGTTCAGATTGCAGGACAGAAATTTCATTTTTTGGCTGGGGATTTTCAACAAACTTATCCCCCTGGTGGTGGCCACCTTCCACCTGGTTCAAAAGGAGGGCGTTAATTCCGAGAGAAAAGCCGAGGAATTGAAGAGGTTTGAAAACGCTGTCTACGCCGTCCAGCAACAGATGGACGGATTGATTGGGGAAATTGAAAACGACGTTAATTCCTCACTTGATTTTGATGACGAATATGAAGAGCTGGTTGCCAAGAAGCCGCGACTTCTCAACCAGCTGAAGCGAAAGGAGGAAGCCTTGGAGATTTGCAATGCTGTTATTCGCCAGGTGCTGACCCGGTTCAGCTCAATCAGTTACCTGACGGCTACCAATCTGTTCAAAGTGAACAGCTTCAAGGACTACAGAAGATCATTTCCCTCGCAGTATTTAGACGAAACCACCCGGATATTTCCGTTTATCGACAAACAGAAAATTACCATCGAACTTCAGGTAGTGTACGAGCGGCCGGAACTGCGGGTCGTCTCGGGGATCGTTCCTTTCTTGGAACTAGTTAGCGACGAAGCCCTGGGAAGCACATTCCAAGAGCTGGTCAAACTGTTGAGCATCGTCACAACAATGCCAATAGAAACCAACGAAAGTGAAAGGCGATTTACGGTGCTCAAGCAGATAAAGACTTTCTTGAGGAATACGAGCCGAGTGAGCAATTTAAGTGCATTTGCGTCGATGTCCATTGAGAAGAGTTTTATCCATGACATTGATGATTTCGATCATAAAGTCATCGACTTCTTTGCCGCCAAAACGAAGCGATTGGACTTTGTTTTGCGGAAGGTCTAATTCTAGTCATTTACAGTTTTTGTTTCTTAATGTGATCATTTTTGGAAGAAGAGAGTGATTGAAGAGCCCAGCACTGTGTTCAGCTATTACCGCCACACCGATCAATGTAAAATACATAAAAGCTCATCAGACTTTGCGCAATGTTTGATATCAATTTGTGATTTTTGTTTGTTAGTTTGTAAGTTAGTCTAGAAATGCCTTTAGTTCAATTCTGTTCATTAGTTACCTCTGTGTATCAATAACTGCAGTTTCGTTCAATTTTTTTCACTAATTGAAATACAAAATGTGTTTTTTTAGGACTCCAAACTTTTGCGGTTTCAAAGTTTGCTTGATTAGTTTCATGTCCTTTGAACAGCAGCGCAATTTTTAGAACACTATTTACAGCAAGTAGGTAGTAAAATACCTTTCTTGTCCTCCTGTATAAAAGCCCCAGAAAATTTTTGAGTTCCACTTTTAATTATTTATTTCAATAATTTATTTTAAACATTTGTCTCATTTGGACCGTTAAGCCGCTGGTATGATTCCAATAAATTCCAGGACAAAAAACTATTTGTGAAGTCAAATCAATTTTTAATAAGAGTAAGGAAAACCCGAGTTAAGTGAGCCCCGAGAGCAATTTTTGCTAAAATGCTAAATATTTTAGAAAACAAATTGGTTGAACTTGACAAAGAGCATCTGATACGGAAGCCTTAAAAAGTTCGCTTAAAACGATTCGCATTAAACTAAGTGGAATCATTTTTTGCAAACATAAAATTGTTTAGTTGCAATTTGGACGTTGTTTTTCGACGATATTTTTAGCAAATGAATGGCATTTAGAAAAAATGCAAACACATTTTGTGTATTTGCGAGAAACTTTATTTTTGTTGAATTATATTTATCGTTATCTAGTTGTTCAGTATATACAGGGTGATTTATCAGTGGCAAGCTTTATCAATTGGGAAAAGTGTCTTTGAGAGGAAAACGTGAAGTTATAAGAAAACAAATTTTGGAAATTAGGTGGAAGTGAATAAAATAAAGAGAAAAATAAAACATTTCTTTGGAAAAATGTCATATAACTCAGTTGTGTCGTAAAGCTGCCTGATTTTTTTATGATAGGTAAAGTTTGCTGTTTGCTCGGTTAATAAATCGCCCATTACCTCACGCAATAATTGAGTCAAACTCGACGTTTGTAGTCAATATTTATATGTAATTTCTGAATGTGTGTTATGTAAAGGCTGTAGTCTTTATATAGTTTTTAGCTCATTTTTGTCAATTTAGAAAATTTAGTTGGTTTAGTTTGTTATTATTTAACTTATTAGGACTTTTACGGTATACCTAGTCAAAGTTTTTGTGGATATACATGTTATTTTTTTCTAATCTGACGAGTTTCATTTATTATCCCGCCAGCTTAACTTTTTTTGCTAGTTTTCGATAGTCTTACTGAGTTAGTGAGTGAAATTTGGAAACTTGTTGCAAAATGTTTAAAGTGTTGATTGATCGGTATGGTGCTTCTGAGAACAATTTATACAAAAAAAAATTAACTAATTAAAATTCCATTTGCAATAGCACTGATGTTTCTTAGCCCAGAGGATGAACGCTAATCCTTAATTAAATGTGATGTTCCCACGTATTATTCGCTTATAATCTCAGTCCGGGTTTTGATGAGCTCAAAGTTTGTTGGATGTCTATGGGATTTATCCCCTAACCGCAGAGGTTTCTATGGCATCAGCCTCGTTATGCTCGTGGACGGGACAAATTTTATCTTTGAAACTTATCTCACATAATGAATTGTTAGCGTTGTTCACTCCTGCGACGTTCTGGCTTGCTTTTTCGGATAATGCTCGGTTTTTAGACCGACCGACGACCGGAAAACCTTTTTAGGATCACATGATTACTGAGAGGCATTTTGTCTAGTCTGTCGACTCGCCAAGCCGATTCTAAATTATATCATTTTGTTCAGCTGATGGGATTAAGTGAGTAAAATATTTCAGTTTTATGTCATTTCTTTTCTTTCCAACCGCTCTTAATTTGGGGCTTTGTCAGGGATTTTCTTCGGTTTTGTAACTGATAGTCGATCAGCGATATCAAGCGTCCGTCAGCTGAAAATAATGTAAAATTTAAAAAAATTTGAGAAAATTTTCATTTTTTCAAAAAATCGACCTTGGAAAAATTTCGACCAAAAATCAAAATTTCACACACGAGTTTTTTCAGCTCAATCGATTCCTTCCGACGTAAGGTCACAAATGTGCATTTATAAAGTGTTTGGGTCGATAATAAGGAGGAAATCGTCGGTTAAGAATCGTGAATGCTCAAAAAACGCTCTAAATGTGCCGAAAATGTCTATTATTTCGGATCTGAAACTTCTAGCATGTTTTTCAATGAGTTCGATGC